ATGACTGCTGAAAGAGCTGAGCTGATTGTGCAATGCTTGCAAAGTTCTGGGTTGTCTCACAGGGTGAAGAAAGCCTGTACATAAGAGATCTCTGACCATTTGCCATCCCGTCTACAGAAAACATCTAATTGTTGGATAGTATTAAAACCAAGGCTCCCCTCTGTAGGCCAGGCTGGTTGAAGATTGTAAGAGGGCCACACCCTTGTGCAAAAGAAAATGAGCCACTTTTTCTTCAGAGTCTTGGGGTCAAAGGAATCTCAGTGCTTCAGAAAGCACTCTAGAGGAGTGCAGACCAAAGATAGTCTGTTATTCATCTAGAAAGAGAAGCAAGAAAAAAGATGTCCCTTTAGTCACCTTCCTTTCCTTAGGAAAGGCCTAGGGTGGAGGGGAAGACAGTGGAGGGCATCCCCCCAACTGTTTTCCCTCCTTGGCTCCCTGAGCCTTGGCATCCTTTAAAGGTGCCATCCACTGATGCAGGCATAACCCTCAGCAATGAAACCAGAGGAACCAATCAATTGGGATTAGTCATGCTCACCCATGTGATTCTAGTCCTCTGCTGGTGATTTCCCTTTGACTTCCTAGACTTGTGTGATCTGCATGACTCCCAATAAATGGATCTCGAGAGAGACTGTGTTACACTTACATTTGGGCAATGCCCTTTAACGGAGAGAGAATGCAGGTTTGAGCTGTACAATTTGCTATTATGGCCTGTACTAAAATATTTATTCTTAGGCAGTGGCTCTGGTTAACTTCCAGAATTAAATTCCCCTTACTATTTAAGTACCATTTTAAGTGGAGGCAGAATAGGTGCTTTAAAAGAACATAGGAACCAAATGGTGGTTTTCCTGCTGATGGGACCGTGTTGAGACTAAAATTTGGTTTTGGAGGACCTTTTTCTCCTCATTGTTGAAGGCAGAGTTTTCTTGTTCACAGAAGGAGCATAAAGCCTGGTATCTAGTAGAGGGGCACAAAAAGCAAGAATTAGGAAGCTAAGAGTGTTTTGGCAAATGGCCAGTAATATGCCTAATGGGATAGGGTTCCTACTTCACTAGGTGGTGTTGTTGACCTTGAAGTACAATGTGCTCTCCAGACCAAGGGTAAAGAGAAAGATGTTCACAGGGGATGTGGGGGAGGGAAGGACGCCCTCTCTGCCTAGAAAATCACAAAAACAGTAATCCCATGAGCTATATTCCCAGGTACTATAGCATTTCCTGATCTTGCCTAACAGGATTACTTTACTGAATTGTAAAAATTGTCAAAGCATTGCATATAGAGAGTGGGTAGGAGACATGGAATTTGCGGATAGGAAGGGAGAAAATTTGCAATAGAAAAGGCTTGAAGATCCTGTTGCCATCATCCACCAGGCTGTTGGAGGCTGGAATTAGTCCAGAAGCCTTCGGGTAACACCAAGGTGTCTCCCTGGCCAGGAACCTTCAGTGCCTCTTGACCTCTTCCAGTCCCACATGACAGCTAGGCTCTCTGTAAAAGGAAACCAATTAGAAGCAAAGTCAACATTCCCAGCACCCTGAGGATACGGGGAGATTAGCTAAGTTCTCCCTGGCAAGTCTGTCCCGAGTCTTGTAAGGCTGGTAGCCATGCTAACTTTTTAAATGGTTGATTGAGGGCCCAGTATTTGGTTTGATTTTAAAAATGGAGAGCAGATGGCCTTGAAATGAAGGAGTTAGGGTCCACTCCTACACTCACCCTTCCAATGAATCTTCCTCAGATCCCAGGTGGGCCCCCACAATGAAATGGCATTGTTCATCTGGGATAATACCCAAGGTTCGTTGTCTCATATCAAGGACATGGACATACAAGGAATGAGTTTATGAGCAGAGGTTTAATAGGCAAAAGAAAGAGAAAAGCTCTCTTCTGTAGAAAGAGGAGTCTTGAGTGGGTCTTTTGGTCCACAGTGAAGTGCAGGAGATTTTATAGATGAGCTTGAGGAGGTAGTGTCTGATTTACATAGGGCAAGAAATATTGGTCAGACCAGGTGTGCCATTTGCATAGCACGTGAAGAAGTTGGCTGTCCCACTCTAATCTTTTATTATGCAGATGGATTCTCTACCTGGCCAGCTCCATGTTGCCTGCTTTTTTACTGTACACATTGTGACAAAGAAAATGGAAGATGGGGCCTCCATGTTGAACATGCCTGGCCCTCAGTTAGCCCTTTTCTATTGACACAGCTGCCAGCATTCACCATACAAGCTTTCAGCTTGCTTATCTATGTTTGCAGCTTGATTTTCTGGGCTGCTCTTTGTTAGAAAAGAAATGACTTGGGGGCTCCTTTTTGTTAAAAAGGGAAGCCTTGCCAAGGACTCCTTTACCTTCACTGTCTACCTAAATAATTTCTTTCTAGCTCCTGTTTCATTCCCTTTATATATTTAGGTGTTCTGAATGTTAAATGTGTGTATATATATATTTATATATATATTTCTCTTGATGAATTGATCCCTTTATTATTACACAATGACCTTCTTTTTCTCTTTTTACAGTTTTTGACTTAAAGTCCAATGTATCTGATATAAATATAGTGATTCCTGCTCTCTTTTGGTTTCCATTTGCATGGAATATCTTTTTCCATTACTTCACTTTCAGTCTATATGTGTCCTTAAAGATGAAGTGAATCTCCTGCAGAAGGATAGAATTGGGTCTTGTTTTTTTATAATCTACTCAACCATTCTATGTCTTTGGGGCAGGGAGTATAGAAATATACCATTTTATTACAGTCTCACAAAGATAAAAATAGTATCTCAAAACTCCCCCAATTCTGCAGGTGGAGGAGGGCAGGACACTAGCCTACCATCCTCCACCTGCAGAACTGGGGGAAGATGAATAGCAGTCAGTGTGAGTTTCCTGGCTCACTTGAGGCCAGTGAGAAGGTATGAGAATGGAACCAAACTAAAAATGGCTGATGTTACTTTAGGAGCCTGAAAAGAACAGGGCATCCTTGAAGACCCAGCCACCCCTTTTAGAATGTGCAATAAAGGCACCTTTCCAAAGCTACTAAGCAGGCACTTGGCATTTCAGTATTTTGTCTCATGTTTGCACAAAAGTATTCCTTTCACCCAGACCTGGCACCTTTTATGCTTCGGAGTTAAGACCTGCGGAGGGATGGGTGGCAGGGCAGCTCCTAGAAGAGCTCACCCAGCACAGCTGCCCTGGGCTCAGGGTCTTGATTTCTGTCTAGTCCCTGGAGCTATTTATATTTAATAAATTTTATATGAATACCTGGAGAAATAGAAAACATAAAATCTGAGGGTTTGGGAGAGAAAGATTGGGGACTAGGCAGGAAGCCAGAGCTGGAGAGCTTTCCTCAGGCCAGCTTGACCTGGTCCTTGACCTCTTTGGCTCCTGGCTTCTTCTCCTTTGTTTTTCTCCGCTTCTGTGACTTCTTTCTTCATCTCTGAGTCTCTCTTTTTCATCCTGTTTTAACCTTCTTGGATTTTCTGAAGATGGGAGAGATCTTGCGGCCACCCTCTCCCTCCTCATCAGAACCGAAGAACTCTTCCTCACAGGTAATTCGTCTGTCAGAGAAACAGATGGAGATGCTTGTCAGGGTCTTCTTCATTCTCAATGCCACCCTCTTGAGGGACAGCATCCTCAGGAATCACCTGCATTTGGACTGCAGATGGATGGGGCTGCATTACTAGGTTCTCAAACAGCCATTATTTAATCTTCTCCAGGTACTCATTAGTGTTCTAGTTAGTCATATTGGAAGGACTGATGTAGGGCTTGAAATATGGTCTGAAGTATTCAAACTAGTCATTGTATGAAGGCTCATTAGAAATCTCCATATCCAGAGCCACAGCTATTTCTTATTTCCAGCACTAAGCAACGTTATAAATGGTGTAACCACCTTCTGCCATCAACAGTATAGGCAGGTTGAAGCTCTTGACAAATTCCATACACTTGGCATGCACTTTCATGGTCAGATTAAAGCAATCTAACTGATCCCTAAACAAGGCATCTGAGACATGCCATAAGACCACCACACTAGACAGGAGCATCTCTATTACTTTGGACATGACCAGTTTCAAAATGGCCTCACAGGACTCATAATCAATCCCATCTAGGAGCAGACAGTTAACAGCATAATATCTGCCTTGCCAGTCCCAATATCCCATAGGTCCCCATTTCCTGGGAAGTACTCTCCATATTTATGAAAGGACACAGTCCTGACCTGGCCTGTAATATAGAAGGTCTCTTCCATGCCATCATCATGGTGAATATGAACATCAACATACAACGCCCTCTGGTGATACTTCAGCAGTTCCAGGGTGGCCCAGATTGTATCACTGATATAACAGAAGCCAGATGCCTTGAACTTCTTTGCATGGTGCAGGCCCCCAGCCCAATTCACAGCAATGTCCATCTGCTGCTTATTAAGTTTCACAGCACTTGCCACAGAGCCACCAGTAGACAACTGACAGAAGTCAAACAGGCCATCAGATACTGGACAGTCCTCACTAACATTAAATCTCCGCATCTGCTTGCTGTGCTCGGACACGTAATCTGGACAGATGGAGCACAATAATTTAATGCAGTAATCACTGTGGTACTTGGTCATCTCCTCAGCATTGGCTTTGTGAGGGTGAGGGTTTCCATTTTTCAGTAGAACCCATAGTTGAGCAGCAAACTGTGAGTCATGCAGATTCAGTGAGGCTTCCTTGGGTGGGCTTGTCCATAATAGTAATTTCCAATATCCCTATCATAGTAGTAACAGACTTTCCTCCTGGTGCCCTGCCTTTGCGCCATCTTGCTCACCTCCTGTCCCTCTGTCCCTCCTGTCAGTCATTCTCCGTTCTATGTCTTCTTATTGGATAATTTAAATAACATTGATAATAGCATGTAAATAAATATTGAAAATCATAATAAGTAAAAATGACAGGAACAGAACTAGGAACAGGTTAATTTCATAGCATGTTACACTTCCTCTCATTTCAGCTCAGGTATGCTTTAAATTTATCCATCTCATATCACATTTGCTGTCATTTCAGATTTGGTCTGCTCTAAACTTACCCATCTTCCTCCATCACTGGAACAATTCCATAAAGTCCTTATTCCTTAAAGCACCACTGATACCATTAAAGCCACTAACAGAGACTGAACTCAGAATAAAGGAAATCATAGAGAAACTAGATCAGCAAATCCCACCCAGACCTTTCACCCACATGAACACCACTACCAGCGCCACACACAGCACAGCCACCATCCTCAACCCTCGAGATACGTACTGCAGGGGAGACCAGCTGGACATCCTGCTGGAAATGAGGGACCACTTGGGACACAGGAAGCAATATGGTGGGGATTTCCTGAGGGCCAGGATGTCCTCCCCAGCCCTGATGGCAGGTGCTTCAGGAAAGGTGACTGACTTCAACAATGGTACCTACCTGGTCAGCTTCACTCTATTCTGGGAGGGCCAGGTCTCCCTGTCTCTACTGCTCATCCACCCCAGTGAAGGGGTGTCAGCACTCTGGAGTGCAAGGAACCAAGGCTATGATAGGGTGATCTTCATTGGCCAGTTCGTCAATGGCACTTCCCAAGTCCACTCTGAATGTGGCCTGATCCTAAACACAAATGCTGAATTGTGCCAGTACCTGGACAACAGAGACCAAGAAGCCTTCTACTGTGTGAGGCCTCAGCACATGCCCTGTGCTGCACTCACTCATATGCATTCTGAGAACAAGAAAGTTTCTTATCTTAGCAAACAAGAAAAGAGCCTCTTTGAAAGGTAAAAATAATTACTTCTTGAGACTACGTGTGCAAATATTGTGATTTGGCCTATATACTGATCCAAAGAAAAGTCTTGTGAGTGCATCAATTTTGGGTGTCTTTAGTAAGAACCTTTTGGGAAAGGATCTGTGAATTCATTTAGAGACAGTGCCCATTCTCTAGTAATCCACGAACTTTTTGAATATTTAATTCTTATCAATGAGATAAAAATATATACAGAATAAAAACTAAAAGAAAATGAGAAATGCACATTTGTATATGTGTGTGTGCTCTAATACATTTTTTCTGCATCTCAATAAATCCTCTTACATGCCTTCCGGGTAACTGTATCCCATAGCCTAATAGGCAAAGAAATGGAAATTTACTAAATGGCCTGAAACTGTAGGCATAATAATTGACTTATCTCTAAGAAATAACTGAGGCACTGGATAATCTAGTTTCTGTATGTTTCCTGATTTGAGGCCACCTACAGATTAATTTCTGTATTTGTGTCTTTAAGGTCAAATGTGGGTGTAGAGATTATGGAAAAATTCAATACGATTAGTGTCTCCAAATGCAACAGTAAGTACTCCTGTGTTTGGTGGGTGGTGCCTAGTTTTAGACTCATTTAAAGGGTTTCTTCTTTCTACTGGATTTGTTCACTGTTTCAGTCCTATCAGCACTCTGTTCATCTGGCTTATCTAAGGTTGGCCAAGACACCAGTTATCTAGGTGAGTGAATAATTGAATCACCGGGATATCATAAGCCTATTTTAGTAACTGTAACTCTCATCATCAGTCTATTTGTCAGTCAGTGAATTCCCTGCCCAATTTATACAATAACCTTTAAGCGTTAACTCTTTCCCAATTCTGTACCTAGTTCTTTACCTCACCACAACACCCCTCTTCATACCACTGCCATCACCTCTTCCCACATCACCACTAGCCCATCACCATCTAGAGGTTTCCAACCTGCCATCTGGGTGTCAATTTATTATAATCCTTCCCTCTGGATCTTTGCCACCTTTCAAACAATTGTTAGCATACAAAATAGAACTTCCACACTTACATTTACTAATTACTCTCCAATTTCTTTGAGTCCAAATAGCCTAGGAAACTCCTATCTAAAATGATTCAAGGCAAGAGCTTTTATGTCTCTGCAAGTTCAGCATTAAAACCTTGCTAATCACAAAAAAAAAGAAAGAAAGCCTTGCTAATCACTGATAAACCTACCTACACCGAAGTGTAAATACGTACCTAGATGTAGAAATGTTGTTTTTCACTACACATACACGAGTACACGCATACCAGTTATTAAAATATTAAACTACTTCTCTCGGTTGATTAATAATCACTGCCCCAAACCTGCCATGGGCTCCTCACCATCATGGCTTCCTCACCATCATGGCTTCCTCACCATCATGGCTTCCTCACCATCATGGCTTCCTCACCATCATGCCTACCTCAACACTTGGATTCCAAGACTCTTCTAAACCCCTCCAAGACTGAGGGGTTAATCCCTGGCCCATCTTGGACCTCCAAGACACTGTACAGCCTATAGCCATATTCATTTGGATTGTCCAGTTCCCAAGTCAAACTAGTTGTTAGTATTTTTTATATCACCTTTATTTAACTCAAAGGATTTGTATTTTGATGATGGCATTTAAGACACTTACAGTGTGACAAACTTAGGGGTAAAGTGAGCTAAAATGATAGGATAATTGAGCTTCCATTCCTATGCAAGAATTGATAACTTAAATTTTCCCCCAGAAAGTCATTTTTTTCTAGGAGGAAACATATACTCTTATAATGAACATTAATGCACATTATTTAGGAAATTCACATCACAGAAAAATTTTTATTAAAAAAAAAATCTGTTCCATTAAGAGAATACTTCAATAAGACTTTTTCCACCATTTCCACCACCCTTACCCCCTCTTAGGATACTTAGAGGATAGAAGGCTCTTAATAAATACTGATGGGTAATTTGATGTCTTAGAAGATTCTATCTTACTGATTCTTTGGCAGAAGAAACAGTTGCAAAGAAAGAGAAATGCAAGGTTGGAATGACATCCACAATCCCCAGTGGGCATGTCTGGAGAAACACATGGAATCCTGTCTCCTGTAGTTTGGCTACAGTCAAAATGAAGGAATGCCTGAGAGGAAAGCTCATATATCTAATGGGAGATTCCACGATCCGCCAGTGGATGGAATACTTCAAAGCCAGTATCAACAGTATGCCTCAGTCTAAGTTATAATTCTTACCCCTTTCAAAAACTTCCTTTCCATTTCAAAGGGGAAAAGGGAATATGGGAAATGCCTCTTTATTTTTCATATTCCTCAATCACAACACACCAAAATTTTTCACAAGGCATTGTTATCTTTCCTTTAAAAAAAAAAGACAGCTATCTAACTGGAGGGAAACCAGCATAGAAAAAGGTTTACTATATCCCTATCTCTGCAGAATTCACACTTCAGTATGTACCCAGTAGGCTCAGAAAACTATTGATGGAGCCAAAGATAACTTAAGATATTAAATTGTCCAGCTTCTAGAACCAGCATAATGATTAAGGGTATGATTCTAAAACCAGACAGCCTGGGTTCAAAACCTGACTTCCCTACCTCCTATCTTTGAACAAGTTATATAACCATTCCATCCCTCAGTTTTCTCATCTGTCAACTAAAGATGAAAAGAATTTCTATCTGGTAAAATAAGGTAATCCATACAATGCATTTAGAATATTGCTTCTCACATGGTTAAGTTCTCTTTTGTGTAAGGTATCATTACTGTCATCATTACCTAAGAGAACAGATGTCAGAAGTGAAATAGACTGCATCAGGTAGGCACAAGTAAAGTATGGGTTTGGAGTCTAACAGACCTAGGCTGTGCTATTTAGAAACAATGACTTTGGGCATGTTATTTATTTTCCCTGCCTGGTGTTTCTCATCAATCAACCAGGAATAATAATAGTGATATAGTTTAAATGATTATCCCCTCCAAATCTCATGTTCAAACATGATCTCCAACACCAGAGGTGGGACCTAGTGGGAAGTGTTTGGGTTATGGAGGTGAATCTCTCATGAATGGCTTGGTGCCCTCCCCATGGTAATGAGTGTGTTCTTGCTCTGTCAGTTCATGTGAGAACTGGTTACTTAAAAGAGCCTGGCATCTCTCTTGCTCCCTCTCTCACCATGTGACACACTGGCTCCCCTTCCCTTCTGCCATGACTGAAAGCTTCCTGGCCTCACCAGATGCTGAACAGATGCTGATGCCATGCTTGTACAACCTGCAGAACCATCAGCCAAATAAGCCTCCTTTCCTTATAAACTACCCGGCCTCAGGTATTCCTTTATAGCAATGCAAACAGACTAATACAAGTTTGTATAGAAGATTAAGTGAAGTAATGGATATAAAGTATTTAACACATTGCAAGGCGTAGTGGCACATAGAAAGTGCCCAAAAAACCAATAGCCATTGCAATTGTTATCATTACTTAATTTAAGGGTCAGGAATAGAATCCAATTGCTAAAATCCTAGTTCAGTTGCTCTATTTACTAAACCAAGAGTGCACCAGTAATAACTCCGAATTTGCTAGTAGACTTTAGCAACCTCACCTACAAAACCACTATTGGCTGTCCCTCTATGACCCCGGATCCTGGCTCTCATCACTGAGAGAAATGCAGTAGCTGTGGCTCCATCCTGGCCTTCCCAAAATGAGGCCACTCATGATCTCAAACTTAGAAGGAAAGTTGATCCAATAAAAGTAGGAAAATTGGTAGGGCCTTAGTTCTAAGTTATAAGAAAAATTCTCAACAGAAGGTTTAAATTGTCAACTCAAAGAGCTTTAAATTGTGATCTCTGGTAAATGACTAAACTCCTAGGGAAACCTCAATTACCTCATCTACAAAATTCAGGGTCTAGTAACAGCCTTTAGCATCACATTCCATAACAGTGATTCTCTTAGGTCATATAAAGGACTGAGTTATGGAGTTACCTACCTCTTCAACTCATCTTTTAATTTGTCATAGAAAAACAACTGTTGTACATTGTGTTAAAAGTTAAATTCTATGGCCAGAGTGTGATTTGGAAAAGAAAACTGAAGTAAGTTGGAAGCAGAGTGAAGAAAATAGCTCTACCATTTTCCTCCAACTTACTCTAGAGCATCTCTGTTTTCCAGCCTCACTGGGTTAAGACTTCAAACATAGCCCTTTGCTTCTAAGACAATCCCGTGTTACAAAGCATCAATAATCCTTCTCTGCACATTTTCCTCAAAAGTTCTAACTACAAGGCAGTTAGCCCTGCTGTTCTGGTAAAAGTCTAATTAATATGATGAAAATGGAAGAACTTCATTTCATTCTATTCATGTGTCAATTAAATATACACGAGGGGATCCTTGAGGTTAATGGATAGATCAGTCCAAATAAATGCTTTGTATATTGTAAAGGGTTCCACAAATGACTAGTAATACTTATTATTATAGTAAGGCACTTAATATTATCCCATGCATATGTGAAGGAAACACAGAAGTACAGAATATAGTTTCAGTCTTGAGGGAATTTAAACAGTGGCTGGGGAAATAGGGTTTACATATTTTTTTATGAAAAGACCATCAATTAGTACCATTCTCTATCCTCAAATGAGTTTAGTCTACAGTCAACAAAATGTACAAAAATAATATCTACAAAACTGACCACATAATCCTCCAAGGAAGTTACTTCACTACCTTTCCATCCCCACTCCACTAGATTCCACATGATTCTGTAAGGTAGCATGAACATAATCTCTCACATTTACATACATTTTTTTAATTTTTTATTTTTTTATTTCAGTAGGTTTTTGGGGAGCCAGTGGTGTTTGGTTACATGGATAAGTTCTTTAGTGGTAATTTCTGACATAGTGATGCACCCATCACCCGACAAGTGTACACTGTGCCCAGAGTATAGTCTTTTATCCCTCATCAACCCTGAACCTTTCCTCTGAGTCCCCCAAGTCCACTGTATCATTCTTAGGTCTTTGCATTCTCATAGTTGAGTTCCCACATATGAGTGAGAACATACGATGTTTGGTTTTCCATTCCTGAGTTACTTCACTTAGAATAATAGCCTCCCATTCCATCCAGGTTGCTGCAAATGCCATTATTTCATTCCTTTTCATGGCTGACTAGTACTCCATAGTGTGTGTATGTGTGTGTATATACAATATTTTATATATATACAACATTTTATACATAATATATATAACATCTTATATTATATATATACAAATAAAACATTTTCTTTATCCTCTCATCGATTGATGGGCATTTGGGCTGGTTCCATATTTTTGCAATTGCAAATTCTGCTGCTATAAACATGAGTGTACAAGTATCTTTGTACACTAATGATTTTTTTCTTCTGGGTAGATGCCAATAAGTCGGATTGCTGTATCAAATGGTAGATCTACTTTTAGTTCTTTAAGTAATCTCCACACTGTTTTTCATAGTGGTTGCACTAGTTTACATTCCCACCAACAGTGTAAAAGTGGTCCCTCATTACTGCATCCATGCCAACATCTATTGATTTTTTGAATATGGCCTTTCTTACAGGAGTGAGGTGGTATCACATTGTGGTTTTGATTTGCATTTCCCTGATAGTGATGTTGAGCATTTTTCCATATGTTTGTTCACCATCTGTGTATCTTCCTTTGAGAATTGTCTATTCATGTCTGTAGCCCACTTTTTGATGGGATTGTTTTTTTCTTGCTGATTTCTTTGAGTTCTTTGTAGATTCTGGATATTAGTCCTTTGTTGAATGTATAAATTGTGAAGATTTTCTCCCACTCTGTGAGTTGTCTGTTAACTCTGCTGATTATATCTTTAGCTATGCAGAAGCTTTATAGTTTAATTAAGTCCCATCCATTTATCTTTGTTTTTGTTGCATTTGCTTTTGGGTTCTTGGTCATGA